TGCGCGCCGCCAGCCATCGTGTGCTTTTGATTTGATTTTTCGCCCCAAATCCTCCTGCAGGGGGACAGGCCCGACCTCCAGCCTGGCAGCCGCTGCCCGGGAATGCGTCGGGCGTTCGGTATTGGGGGGGGCGGTACCTGGGGGGTGGGGGGGCGTCGAAGGTTGCACGCAAGGGGCCCTGTATGGGCCCTCAACGAGCCCCTTGGTGAACGCTCGGGGGCCGCCGAGGGGAGGGGGGCGAAGCGCCCAGGTCGGCGGCGAGCGAGGGGGGGAAAGCGAGAGGAGGAAGAGGAGGAGGAGGAGGAGGAGGAGGAGGAGGAGGAGGAGGTCGAGGAGGAGGACCAATGGAAACCCAAGAGTCATCAACGATGTTGGAATTAACCCTACCTTCAAGCTCCCTCTCCATAGGCCACTACAACGGTTCATTTCGAGTGAGGGAACTGCCTCTTTGGAAGACAACAGTTTGAAGATCCTCAAGCGTACCAAACCATTGTTCTCGGGATTTCAACGCCGCGTATCAACCTGACTGCTGCGTCTTGACGATCCAGAATCGTGCCAGAAGGCCAGTTTTGGGACTTCAACAGCGAATCAACATACTTGTTTCGCCCGCATAATCCTGACTCCTTCCAAAACACAATTTCTGGTGCGCTGGTCATGGGAATCCGTGAAGCTCTTGCAATGTACAAAAAGAATGCGCGCGGCGCTAAGGCGAGAGCCACATTTCAAAAACGACCCATCCGTGAAACATTTGCAAATGTTCAAACATTGCAACACTTAAAAAAGTGTGCTCGGCGCTCAGGCGAGAGCCACATTTGGAAGAGGAACCGATCTCAATCCGTCAAGCTCTTGCAAATTAAAAACGGATGTGCGCGGCGCTAAAGCGAGAGCCACATTTTGAGAACGACCCGCCATCGATCCGTGAAGCTTTTGCAAATGTTTGAAGCGATTGTGCGCGGTGCTAAAGCAAGAGCCACATGTTGAAAACCACCCGCCCTCAAACCGTGAAGTTCTTGCACATTAAAACGAACGTGCGCGGCGCCAGGGCGAGAGCCACATTTTGAAAACGACCCGCCCTCCATCTGTGAAGCTGTTGTCACTGTTTAAGCTTCAAGGTCATAAATGGCGAGGAAGTCTCAGGCGAAACGTCCCGCCCGCCCTAAAAATTGGCCTCGGGGTGCGACAGGGAGGAGTTATTTATAAAAGGAAAGAATGGAGGAGGAGGAGGAGGAGGAGGAGGAGGAGGGGGAGGAGGGGGAGGAGGAGAAAGAGGAGGAGGAGGAGGAGGACGAAAAGGGGCGGGCCTTCTCAGAAGGCTCGGAGTCCCCCGGCCTTCTGAGAAGTTTTCTGAGCCTTCCCCGAAGGCACAGAACACCTTTCAGAAGGCGCGAGGGATTCTGAGAAGCCCCGCCGCTTTCTGAGAAGGCCTTCCCCTTCTCACTTCCCCCCCTCGCTCGCCTCCGATCTGTGTGTGTGTGTGTGTGTGTGTGTGTGTGTGTGCGCGGCATCCGGCCTGGCCTGTGCACACCCAGACACTTTCTCTATGCCTTGTCTCGGGGGTTCGTTCAGTGGGTAGTATCCCAAGGAGATGGCAGGGAGCATACCCAGCCGAGTGAGTACGCATATTTCCTTCTGAAGCGGGCTGTTTGTAGCGATTTGTCCCCACCCCCACCACCCCATTGGGAGCATTCCCAGCCGAGTGCTCACATTTCCTTCTGAAGCGGGCCGCTTTTAGCGATTTCTCCTCCAACCCCCACCTCTGCCCTGCCCCAAAGGGAGCATACCCAGTCGAGTACTCACATTTCCTTCTGAAGCGGGCCGCTTTTGGCGATTTTCCTCCAAGCCCTACCCCAAAGGGGGCATACCCAGCCGAGTACCCACATTTCCTTCTGAAGCGGGCCGCTTTTAGCGATTTCTCCTCCAACCCCCACCTCTGCCCTGCCCCAAAGGGAGCATACCCAGCCGAGTACTCACATTTCCTTCTGAAGTGGGCCGCTTTGGGCGATTTTCCTCCAAGCCCTACCCCAAAGGGGGCATACCCAGCCGAGTACCCACATTTCCTTCTGAAGCGGGCCGTTCTGGGCGATTTCCTCCAATTCCACCTCTGCCCTCCTCCAGCCCCACCTCTGCCCACCTCTTCGGGGGGACCTCATCTGTCAACAGGCATTGTGTTATCCGGGGTAGCTCTCTGAGGGCTGAGAGGTTTTCAGATTAGAAGCTGGCAGCACAGGGTAGACTGGCATCCTTTCTACGGCTCCCAGTCAGGCATCCCCGCAGAAACCTGCTTGAATTTGCAGCGTGTTCCTGGAGCGATTTCCTACTCGTTCCCAATACGCGCGCTGGAAGCCCTTGCGAAGCTCCTTCGAAGCGCTTCGGCGGCTTCTGCGAAGCTCTTATTCTGAAACCTGCACGCTTTCTAGGCATCCTTTCCGGCGTCCTTGCAAGCGTCTCCGATAAGCTCACCAGCCCCCCAGGCATGCTTTCAAGCTTCCTGGCAAGCATGTCTCACAAGCATTCAGGTTCCCGGATAGCTCGTAGACAGCTAATAGGGTTTCATACTAGGAGCCAGCCAGCCAGGGTAGCCCCGGGGTTCATTCCGGCTTCCGTCAAGAATCTTCGCAGCGACTTGCTTGTGCTGGCAGCGTGTCCTGGAAAGCCTTTTCCATCTGCTTCCCAGAACGTGTGCCCTGAAACTTCCCAGAAGCTCCTTCCCAAGGCTTCCAGAGCTCCTTCGGAGGGCCTCCCAGAAGATTCAGCCGCCTCGCCGTCTGGGTCTTGGATGCCACAAGACTGCTGGAGTTCGCAGCGCGTCCCCACAGGCGTTTTTCTTCGCAGTCCCTTCATGTGCGCCCCGAGCCTTTCCGCAGTTCCTTCGAAGAGCTTCCAGGGCTCCTGCGAAGCTCCTCCCTTGAGCTTGCGAGCTCCCCGGACATCCCTGCAAGCGTTCTTGCAAGCGTCTCCTGCAAAGTTCCACGCGTTCTGGACCGCCCCGCTGTCCGGGTCTTGTGTGCCGCACGTTCTCGCATCCGCCGTGGGCTCGACGTGGGAGTCGACTCGGATTCGACGTGGCTTCGGCGCGGATTTGCGGCTTCTACGTGCGTTCGGGGATTTGACGCGATTCGGGGTGCGATGGGACAGACGAGTTCCCCCGAAGGCGAAGCGCAAAAGCAGGTCCGCCACCCTCTCCCCAGCTCTCTCCTTCCTTCAGGCCCCAAGCGAGTTTCCGCAGCTTCCAGATCGGAGTGCGCCTAGTGTGCGCCTGCACCAGTCCAGGCCAGGCCCATCTTGGGCCCAGGCTCGACGCCAGCGCCCTCCTGGCAGGGCCTAGCAGGGCTGGACCTAAACGCTGTTTTGCTGGACTTTGGCCGTGTTTTGTTTTTCGTTTTGGCAGGGAGGTACAGGGAAACGGGAAGAGCAAGACGAACAACAAAACGAAACCAAAACGAAAAACAACGTTTAGGTCCAGCCCTCCTCTTGGCTGGGCCCAGCACGGGCCTGGCCAGAATCGGCGGACCGCCCGCCCGCCCAACCGGTCTTGCGAGAGAGCATTGGACGGCCTCCACCTCCTCCTCCTCCACCTCCTCCTCCTCCTCCTCCTCCTCCTCCTCCACCTCTTCCTCCTCCTCCTCCTCCTCCTCCTCCTCCTCCTCCTCCTCCTCCTCCCCACCCCACTGACTTCGCCTTGAGGAGCTCGACGCCGCGCATGTTTTTTTTTTGTTTACGCCCACGGGCCGCCTGGGCCCCCCAGGCCGCGCGGACCGCCCCTGCGCGAAAAAGGACGTCGCCGCCGTGGATGCAGATCCGCTGATCTGCCGTGCAGCCCTTGCCGGGAACACGGTCTGTGATACTATCCGGAGACCCGCCGCCTCCTCCCCCTCAACATCTTCCTCCCTCTCCTCCTCCCTCTCTTGTGCCTCCTCCTCC